AGTTCCCAATAAAAATTTTTATATTCTATAGATCTGTAATGTCTAAAAATTCTACTAAACCTAAATTTTGCTTCGTGGATACCATATTCGCCTAATTTCTCACTGTTCACCAAAATGGCCTCCATCAGCTTAAACAAACCCTCCAAAAATTCATTCCACAGAATTCCCATCACCCCAAAGAATCCCCCAAAACTACCTTTCCAACTCCACAACCCTCTTAAACCCTCCCAAATCCAACCAAAAATTCCCACACTCCTCTTCCACTCTCCTCAACCGTAATCATCAACGAATCCAAATCTTTCCGCGTTAAACACCAGACCACTTGCAAAATGCACAACTCGTCGAGGGAAACGACAAGGAAGACACGGCGGTTGTTATCACGACACGGCTGATCGTGGGTTCGTGGCATCGGAAATCTCGCGCAGAAGCAATGGATCGAGCCGTGGTCGGACGATGCGCGGGAGCCGCTATCAGGCGAAGGACGTAGGTGGTTCGAGCCATCGGATTTAGTTAATGTCCAGCGCTCCGTGGACTCGGATGTCGCACAGACGGCGACTAGCCATGACAGACAAGCTCGCCTAAACCGCTCTATCATACGAAACCTTCGTTCCTTTACCGTCAAACACCGCGAACCAACGAATCTACCGGAGAGTAACCTGTAGCTCTCGAAGACTAATCAGAGAGAGAAAGAAGCGAAATCTCCAGGGAGAGAAACCACTCACACTTCTCCATACGGAAACGTGTTCGACCTAAACATGCTTCCGAGAATTTTTTAAAATTTTTCAAAGTTGGACTAATTGGAAGAATTGGAGAATCCAAGTGTTTCGAAGATTTCGCGTCGAAGTTCGGGTGTTTAAGGTTGAAAGAAAATCGAGATTTCGGTTGTTGACAATTTTTCCAGGGGTTTGTTGGATCACTTTTCACGGTTTTCGGCTTGTTTAAATGCTCGTTCGCTTATGTACGACTGGTGACTAATCGCGAGAGAGTTACGTAGACGCGTGGCGGAACGGTATCGACGGTGCTTCGCGACCGGCGTGAAATACAGTCACGGGATCCACGTGGACTCGTGCACTATTTCGCGACGCGCTGAATCGCCGATTCTCTCTCGTTCGCAGTGACAATCTTGAAACGTGACTTTATGTGACACGTCGAGAAAAGACGAGACACCGAGAGACGAGTGTTTCTCTCGTTCGTCGATCGCTGGATCCTCGGGATCAACTTGTCCGAGCAACGTCAAGGTAAGTGGATTTTCTTTATTCTGTGGATTTGACGAAATCGTATGGAGGATTTGGTGATTGCCTCGATCGAGAGTGGAAGTAATTTTGTTTCCTCGAGGAAAGTACTTTAAGGAATTTGTTTAGTCTCTTTCTTTATCTTTCATGCAAATGTGAATGCGTGCACTGTTTTGCAAAAATGGCGAGTAAACTCGTTTTCCTCGGTTAACAGGTAAAAATCCAGTAAGAGTATGCCGATATTTAAGCAGCCTTTATTCTGTGACAAATCTGTGAAATATTTATTAAGGTTGATCGAAGGAAGGATGATCGAGAAATCTACAATTATTCCACTCTTGTCGCGTGTTTGTCTTAAGTATTGCGGGTGAATCCCCTAACAGAGATTGGTTGTACCGTTTGAATCAGAGATCCTCCAATTGTTTCAGCTTCACAGAAGGTGTCCGTAAAAACGGAAAAGGAAAATACGCTTCCTTAAATTTTTTAATAAAGTGCTCCATTCGTTCGAAGACGAATTCAACAGAAGGCCAAAAAGTGGCGAATAAATTGAAGAAGTCAATTGTTCCTTCAATAACGATTTTATCATCAAAATAATTCCAAACTTGTCTCAAGAAATCTTCTACCTTAGCAGTATTAAATTTGCCAAATTTAAACACCTTTTCCTCAAAACTCCTAAAAGACATTGGAACCAAATTTTAACCACATCTTTTCCAGACCTCCTTACGCATACTTGCGTGTTAGAATGGAGAAATATTGCTCGAAACCAAAGGTACAATCTTTTCTTTCACGTTTCATTAAAAGCATCCACGAAAACCATAACGTTCGCGTGTAATTTGCCGTCTATTTCTCTCGCTCCGCCTGTTTCTCGATGCTGAAAACGAGAAACAGAGGCAAGAAGTTGGAATAGAAATTCCCTAGGCAGAAGGTACGCTATGTATTCGTGTCGGACGCATAAACGCTTCCTCCAACCCCATGATCCTTGACCTTAAAACCTAGAATTCCAGACGAAACTCGCTGCTGAATCCACGATCGACCTTCCATCGATTTCCTGTAAAATGGCCGCCGTTGTTACCCGTCTCGTTGCCCCGTTACCTTAAAAGCTCCACGCAAACTCGATCGTTTTTTCTCTTCGTTTTCGCGTCGCTTTAATATCGTAACGCGAGTACTGGTTACCTGTTTACGCTTGATGTAGAAATTATCAGAGTTTGGAGATCCAGGCGGAAAAATGTGCCTCGCGTTCCATGTGAACAGCTTTCTAAATATTGGACGTTTCGTTGTTGAAGTTTTTCCTCGCAGAAGAGAAGCTTAATTCGGTGACGAAAGAAGGAAAGTTCAAATTATTTTCGTATTTTATTTTTCTGCTTATCTTATCTGAATTTTCGTTAAATAAAGGAGTGCTTGGAAGGTCGAGAGGAATATTTTCCCCTCGATCGTTGTTGGAGGATTTTTTCCGGATATTTTCCACGATAAGTTTGACGTAAATATTGACCGTTTGGATGGAGCGCGCGTCGAAACTTTTTCCTCCAGGAAATGGAATATTTCGCGTGTCGAAAGAAACGTATTTCTCGATTTTTCAATTTTTTTTCTCATTCCTGTGATACAGTTCTTTCCTTCGCGACTGTAATCGATTTTCATTAACGCGCTTAACACCTGCGCCGCAGGTAATCAACAGCGCTGGTTTCGTGGAAGTTGCATTTTCATCAATTATCGAGACGATATAAATGTGTCTGTTTTTTTTTTAGCATATTTTTATCCGGGGATATTGTGGAAAGAAAGAGTGGCGTGTTTGAAATTATTCACGGAGGAAAAGTTTAGGCGGACTAACAATAAGTTAGCAAGTTTTCTGGGAGACTTACGAAATCCGGAATTGTCACGGTGAATACGTAATGAAGCGGAAATTCAGGGAAATTACATTTCGCTGAAATTAGAGCGAGTTGAACCTCGCGGAAGTTACAGGATAATTTACAACGTTCCTAATCAGATTGCTCCGTGTATCGCTAGATAACTCTTATCCGAATCTCTGTCTGAACAGATCCGTGTGATTGCGTTCGGAGAAATTAGTCAATGAGATCATCTCTGTTGAAATGGAAAGGTGTCTATTGTACTTCATTCTCGAAACTTTATCATTGTTGAAATAATTAATCACAGACTGTTCTTTGTTCTTCGAAGAGTCGTCTGAACTCGTCTAGAGTAGAGTTAAAAAAGAATTAAAAGACACTATTGTTTTATTGTGCAGTCAAAGAGATGAACTTTTAGTAACTTCGTGTCCAATTGGTTTTTTATTTCCAATTTTTCGTTTATATTGAAAAATTCAAAGTTTCGCAAGATTGGTGAAATAAAAATTTGGAAGTAAAAAACATAAGGGGAAGAAACTTAGGGGTTGGGATCGTGTTCTATATTACTTGGAGGAGGTTAAGCGTGATTAGGCGTAGAATTTCTTGGTACCTTCTGTACTATAAATCACAGGAAAAGGATCCTTTTCGTGGGTAATGAGTGGAAGGTCGAGAAGCTATTCGAGAAGCATTTATTACGATTGTGATAAATGTAGAATTCGATCTTAGTTGGTTTAGTCTATTTTAGGGATGATTCTTGGAGGGAATTGGTATAAAATTCTGTGGGT